CATTATTCCACCTCTAATCATCACACCCGCGTTACCAAAATGGTCATGTTTCAAGATGTTTGAAGGAAGATTTCGCGTTCCTGACTCACTCCAGATGTGAAAATATTTAGAATCAGATTTTAAAACTAAACCTCGACTCGTCAGTAAAAACAATAGGGAACTATTGGTGCTCACTCCTTTTCTGATCCCTCTTTTGTTATGAACAAAGCGATCCTTCTTTTGTTATGAACACGGTGAAACACATACCCTTGTTTTTATGGACTAAAGTCTTTTTCATTAAGCTCCTTCATTAAACTTTCATTCATTCGTCTGCTGTATACGGTTTCCTGCGATGCAGTAGTTCCAGTGGTGGCCGCAAGCTCTGAACTTAACTGTCGTAATAGACTTCCTGTTACGACGGCCAGTAAATGCTCTGGATCACTATTGCAGAAATTTTAATAAACTCCTTAAATCTTATTAATGCCCTGTAATTCAGCAAATGGAAACTTTTTTAAAGGAGAAGTTTTAATACAGGGTGAATAAATAGCGAAGAATTTCTTGTGATAGAATTGTTTCAGTAAAAATTGTTTCAGAAACTCTTAACTAAAGAAGAGTTTTTCAATCCAAACGATATCGATCCTTTGATTCAAGAAGCATAAAATGCTACTGACCTCCTTAAGGACAAATTTTTGGCGCAACCCCAAGAGTAGAATTAACTTTTGCTCCCTTTTGTTTTGTAGTTAAAATGTTTTTAATGCAATGCAGTTATGTTAAAAATTATCTAATAAATATTTAATACAAAATTGCATTCAAAACATCTTTTAAGTGTATATTTAAGACAGGTCTTCGAGTGAACTGAACTCCAGAAAGAACTGAACTCCAGAAGTTCAAAAGGCAGAATATAAGAACGTATTTTTAAAACAAGGTATTTCGAATATCTGTGTCAGTTGGTAAGGATGCAGAACTTGCTATGATTCAGTACTATCAACGGCACATGGAGATTAATCAACGGCACATAGATTGCATTTATTTAATAAGAAAACATTTTCTCTGCATAGTTATGCATTTTTAGCTCGGTATCGCAGTATATCGCTTAAGAACAAGGCTTAAGCACGACAAACTGCTAGCGAAATAGCAAAGATCTTTTATTTTATCCAAGACGTGAAAAGCGACTTTAAAATGCAAGAACCGTAAAGGCAATCAAACGACTTATTGTCCCATCTTATCTTATGAACATATATAAGATGGATAAGATGGATGGAATAATAAGATCTATCCCATCCATCTTATCTTATATGGCCATTAAGTACAATGATTCAACTCACAGCAAAGCTTTAAAAATTAAAACGTTAATCTAAGGGTCGCAAAATCTCCAAAATATATAAGAAATCTTTGCAGCTTTCGATAATATTTTGCTATAAAGGAAAAGGAGTATTTTCAAGAAGTGAAATGCTCTGGTTCTCGGACGGCAGTGTAGAAACACCGAATGACTTGATGCACAGATGCAACCAAAACCACTGTTCCAACCAGGCTGAAACGACTGTTTAAGTTAACCAACTCTAAAAAAGTATGCCAGACATTACGTAAACGATAGTTTTAATGTACAGCTTATTATGCGATACCTTGAACCGCAATATCTGTAAAATAAAATTTCTGAATTTATAAGAAATTATTCGCCTTCTCCTGATCGTATTCTCGTGGTGTAAGTGATAATGTGCCCAGCAGTCAAGAGGGAAAAAAAACTTGGTTCGAATCCAGAAGATGATCTAGCTTCTTTCTCACGTTTCTTGTTCCAAAAGTTTTAAGTACCTCTACACTGGCAAACGACTGAAATGTGATTGGCAATAATCCGTCACCACCTGAATTTGGCCCCTTGAGTCTCTTTCCTCTTTACGCAGTTCCCCTTTAAGTAGGGCAGTACATAAGGAATTAACGTATTAGGCTGCGCATGCTGTCGTTCTGTAACTGATAGTACGTCTGCCTAACAGCGGAAAGATCCGTGATTCGATCCCTGGTGAGGGGACAGCTGGTTTTTTACGTCTCCTACTCAGAAATATCTAAAAACTTTACAAAATGTTAGATTGCAATGTATACTTTGATTTAAAAAACAAAATCTTACATACTGCATATAACGCTATTACACGAGCAAAGTAAGTTTAATTCTTTTCAAGTTTTAATTCCGATTATAAAACCATTTAAGACTCTATAGCAAATAATATTATGCCGTTTAAAAATTAAATCTATGCATGCATGGAATCGTTGCCAAAAGATTACTTCAAAAATGTAAGTATAGAAATATAAGAAACATATTTTTTAAATATTAATTAATTTTAAAACAGTAATCTACGTCATTATATCAGAACTCAAAGATAACGTTTTTCTTTCTGCTGAAATTACAACGTATAGCCCCCTTCAGAAATGGAAGCATCTTGGTAGTTGTCCCAGCCATTCAATATTGCCTTGGCTGATAAGATGAAAAGCAGACTAAGTCTGATTGCTTAAATATCGCTTCTAGAAACGATCTGTTATCCCTGTGTTTAGCATGTTCACTTTTACTGCTTTAAAACTTACTGTAAATTTCAGTGTTTTCAGAATTTAAGTTAGTTTCTTATTTTCAACAACAGTCTACAAGCATCATAATGGCCCTGTAGGGAATGATAAAAAGGGATGCCATGTTAAAATAATCGTAGCTTTAAATGAAAGATTAGTTTACTGAAGATCGATCTGGATTTTGTTATGATTCGTAACATTGGGATAAGTCGTAACAGCCAGGGTCAAACAAACACGAGTTGAACTTAAATATTAATTGAACATGCGTACCGGGATAGTTGATAAGGAACTGTCAGCTGGAGAAGTCAGAAACGTAAGTGGAGTGCTGAAAAAAACAACACCTGTACGGAATTATTTTTAGTCCAAAGGGACTTTGTCCCTGAGGGGCTATTGTTTTCGTTTTGCAATTTTCCGTCGAATCACTCTGAATGTCGGTTTCACTTTGCCCTGTTGCCCCCAAATATTATCCCCAAATATAACTGTTGCCCCCAAATATTATCGCCCTGTATTATATTTGAAGGAATTAAATAGCTCTGAAGAAGGCAACACAGCAGAAAGTTGCTGAAATGAAGAATCTGCATAAATTATGTATGTACCGCCCACGCCGGCAGACAGAAAGCGTAAATCTCTTTTCCATTTCACAGAGAAAATTTAAGCATCTTTTTCAAACTTTTAAGAGCTCAATAATTCAAATTTCTCAGTACAGTCACTACCAATTTCTATTCATTTATTCAAACAATAGATAAATTCCTTTCAACATACTAGCAATTTACTTTTTCTTGGACTGTCATGATGGCATCATCTCGATCCTCAATGATCTTTGAATAAAATCCTCGATTTCCAAGAAAAGCCAGAAATTGGTTGATGCCAAATCAAGAGGGGGTATAGTATTTCCATATCGATTCCCTAGGCTCCAAAGGGAAGAATCATCTCATGCGTGAGTGTTACAGAAAATAGATTCTTTCCTGAAAATATGCATAACCAATAGAGGTAGAAATAATATTTAGAAATGACGAATAACAAGAAGCTCCATATGAAAAGAAATTGTTTTATACTAAACTGTTTCTGCGAAATTAAACGGATTTTTAAGCCAATAAAATTCAGCTTTCCAACTTGGCTTCAACTCTCTAATTTAAGCAACATAACTGTCAAAACTAATTATCGTTCTCTAAGGAATAAAGAGCTTTAAAAAGTTAAATAATAAAAACTAAACTGATTAACATAAACAACTAAATTCAAATAAAAATTAATCCCACTTATATTTGAATCAACATTAGTTTACAATACAAAAATTGAAAAGTCTGTACTTGCAAAAATTTCTAAAGGCTGATTTAAAGCCGTTAACAATTTATAAGCTTCAACCACATAATCCAGGAGCCTGATTACTTAACACTAAGGCTCTAATTTTAACGGCCACTTACTAAAATCTCCTATTTTAATGTTCACTTACCAAAAGCGCATCCAAAAAGCACGTCATCATCAAAACGTACCTAAGAAGTTTGAGTCTTAGGCAGTCAAGTCATAATCAGAGCCTAGTACAAGGAACAATTTTTCAAGCAATAAGTACTTTACTCAAGCAGAAAGGCCTACCGTGGCCAAATGGTTAAAACCACTGAAAGCTGATAGTTCAAAATGGGGTTTCGTTCTGGCGAAAAAGTTGACTGAAGACGCGTTTTCGTAATTTTTCCCATATCTGACTTAGATTGAATTGAATTGTATTATATGGATTTCGGGAAGAATACTAAAGCGCTCTGCCTAAGCAGGGAGTTGTCTTCGTGCAGGACTTCCAAAGAGAAATTCCTCCGTTTTCAAGTTATAAATGGGAAAACCCACGGAAGCAGCCATACAACCAGCCTATTAGGTGGAATTGAACCCGAGTTCACCAGTTTTTAGTGGTTTTTCTCACTTGTGAACACGAGTCATTTTTCCTCAAAAAAAATCTTCCCCAATTGTATCTCTTTCCTCACACAGATAGCCGTCTATGTATTGTCATTATTAATTAAACTCTAAAAATATTGAAAGCAATTAGACAGGAAGAAGACTTAACTATACATAAAAAGAAGTTACAGTAAACAGACATACAGAGAAAAATGTATTTTAGGCTTGAATTTTATAAAAACTAAGCAAAATTTAATCTTAGACTGGCATTAATTTTAGGAAATACTCTATACATTTCAGAAAACTTTGGCATGAATCTTAGCAAAAAATTTAAAAAGTCATCTCTTATTCAAAAGTAAAAACTACCCATAATTATATGTATATTTGTTCTTTGAAGAAGAGAGACTGCTTATATCTCCGAAAAAACACTGAATGTTTCTTCATGATCATACCGAAGTTGAATCTTTCTCAGTTAAAAAAAATCAATATATCATATACCCAATTTGTGCTTCCAGCCTGTAAAATAGGAATTTTTTGTGGGATAAATCAAACTTCTCTCCCCTGCGCACAAAGTAGAAAAGTTCTGCACCCACCTGTAGAGCATCGTAGTACCGGAAGTGACGTGAATATATCCCAGAAAGTTCTTTTCTCCTTTTCAGCACCTTTCTCTCTTCCTCAAATCTATGTAACGAGGACTGCTTTCTTAATTTATCGTTAAATGCTCTGAGACCTTGGTATCTGTAATCAGAGGGCTCTCTCGATAGTAAGGATCTTTCTTGGCACACCGGACTCCGGCGAAACCACTGCCGGATTTCTGGACAGATATCGCAACGCGCGCTGCTGCCGGATCGACAGACGCATGCGCTGCTATTCTCCAATGACAGCGCCGGGTCCCACATTGGCCCTATAGGGGCCATTCGTCAGAGTTCTGGTCCCCACGACGCACGATTAACTCCATCAGTCCTGCTTAGAGAGTGCTTGTGGTGGATGGATCGCCAATCCAGTGTTCCGTCCATCATTGCGAGACGTGCTTGGAGAAAAGTGGTTGCTACGAAGAAATCATAGACTGCATCGTGTGTTATTAAATTTAATCCCCTCTTTGGGGTTTAAACCAACTGACTTTGAGTCAATTAATTCCTCTTAGCTGCCTTCTGGTATTCAATAATTCTGTAATTAAGGTAAGTTCCAAATTTTTTTAATATCCTAAGCAATTTCTTAGGGAAATATTTCACTGTATACAGTTCTAATTAGAGAAGTCATTATGCTGTTTTATACACAGTAGAACTATTGTTCTAACTCTTTTGAATTAGCTGATTTTCAGATTATACGTTTGGTAGTCTCATATGCGAAACTTGACCAATCAAATTGTAATATTAATGTCTTTTCTTGACAATTAATTTGAAACAGATTTAAATTTTACAAAAGTCATACATGTTTCTCCTATTTTCATATCTGATTCTAAAGCTTTTGAAGCATCACAGTAAGATACGAACTTGATCCAAGAGAGCTGAATGAGCTTGATGTAACATTTCCTTTTGTCTGATATCAGAAAAACCTATAAAAGAAATGAAAAGTATAAATTAACGGTATATGCTTGAATGAGACTCATAAAAGTTAAACCAATATAACAGTATTCAAAATATACTTATTCTGATTAAATAGAATATCATTAACGTTAACTTTTTAGATTAAATTTATTACATCATTTTCTAATTGAAGTAGGTAATTCGCATTATTACAAAATGGCAGCTTAATTTCAGCTTTGTTTGATAATTCCTGTAGAATATAAACACGATACAATTTTTTATGAGTTAGTTCGTAAAACTCAGTTTATTTTTCGAGAAATTTCAGTAATATTCTTCAGCATTAATAAATTTAATATTGTGCTTTTAAAGCATTTTTAGTTATAATATAAATAATCTTTTCGTGAAAATTGTTAGTTCTAAATAGTTATGACAATGAATTAAATGGTCGTCTTTTCTGCATTTTGATGTTTATCTTTTATGAACTAAAACAATTCACGTTTTGGGCAGTGAATTAATATCTGGAAAGAAGTTTTGTTTATCTCTCCGAATTGATCTATATTTAGACAAGAATAACATTTCAAAAATAATTTAATCAATATTATCTGCTGCTCTCTGATTTGTCTGTTTTTTATTTGCTAATCTATATATGAAAACTGAAACACATTATTAAGCCAACAGTGGTATTTCTAATAATTTATTATTTATTACAAAGTTTCAAAATGTTTAAAATGGAGGCTACCTCAAAATCTAATAAATTTAAACCTGATTAAATTGGCCGCTTCTAATTTTAAGTGAAATACCTTAGAGGTAATTATTTCAGTGGATGCACAATACAGTTTAAAAATGGCTTTATTATAAATATCACAAACAAATCTAACTCAGTAATTTTGCATTCTTATTGATATCTAAACACCCCATTAGAAGATGAGTAGTTAAAACCGCTGAATAGTGGCAGTTTGACCAGGACTCGAACTCAGCGGAACAGGCTGACTGCATGGTTCGTTTTCGTGGCTTTACCCATATAATGTGAACACACAAGCTGGTTTATCTTAGAAAGCTCTTCACAAAAGCATCCTTTCTCTTAAATAGATAGCTCTCACATGCTTTGCCATATTTAAATAACCTAACCTGTCTAAAACACAGAACGAAGAATCCAACGTATAAGTCCAATGTGTTTTTGCCATTCAATTGAAATGGTTGATAATGCGTTCGACTTTTACCATTCAGTGAAATGAAAACTATCTATTTAGATAAGAACGCCAGAATAATGCTCACGGATTTTGCTAACTATCAAGCTTTTAATTGTCCTGCCCATATTTGACTGTAAATAATATGTTTTAGTTTAAATACTTAGAAAAATGGCGCTTCAGTAAGTATCTAAAGTCATAACTTTGAAATCAGTTTATTGTCAAATGAATATATAAGTTATTCTCCCTCTTTCCAGCATGTCTTCGTGGTGTAACGGTAGCACACTCGGCGCGTATTCGAGAGGTCCGGGTTTGAGTCCCAGGGAGGGCATTGCACATATTCACTTCTGCTTCAGAAAAATCCTAGTGCCTCTACAAATGCAAGGTTAACAATTTAAATCCGGCTCCACTTGAAGTTTGGTTTACTTTCGTTTAGCTTATGAAGCGTTGCAAACCGATTATTAATAAGACTTTGCACTAGAAGACCATATAGAAAAGTTTGATTTTTGAACTTTGAGATTTCCATTGCTTTGAAACTGTAGTGAAATTGTGTTGCATTGTAAATGTAATAAAATGCACATGTCCAAGATAAATAATTAATAAATTAAATTATACAGTTAGCTTTTTCGATCACCGTGTATAATTTTGTGGAACTATAGACTGTACTCTATGGGACCTTATGAAATTATTAGTATTTTACGGAACTATACAGGCTGTACGAAATCTTATAATTTCGAATACCCTGAATATCCTCCTTTCTATATAGTGGACTCTATAGACCCTACAAAATTATTATTACTTTATGGGAGTGTGAGACCTTATAATCTGGAAACACTCTATCTGTGGAATATACAGTGGGTAAAAAAAGTATTTGCACACCTACATTTTTGTTTGCAATTCATAAAAAGAAGCATTAAGAAATAAAAAAAATTCGTATTGCCAAATCAGAATAAGTTTAATCATCCGAAACAAACAGAAAAATTACAATAATATATAAATAACAATGCTTTTTTTGTAAACAAATTTAAATATCTCGTATCAAAAAGTATTTGCACACCTGCATGAATACAAAGAAATAAATAAAATATATAAGCAAAATTTCAAATAACTAATATTTAGTATGCATTCCTTTAGCATCTATTACTGCTTGTAATCTTGCTGGCATTGATTTAATTAAATTTTCTGTAACAGTAGGGTCAAGTATTCGACCACTCTTCAATAAGGGCTTGTTTAAGGGCAGATTTGCTTGAAATCTTCCTTTTTACTTATTTTTAAATTCCAAAGAATTCCACAAATTTTCCAAAGGATTTAAGTCTGGTGATTGGTGGTGGAGTGGCAAGTTTTCTGGGTTACATTATAAAGCAACCACATACGTGTTATACCGGCGGTGTGCTTGGGATTCATTGTCTTGCTGAAAATAGTACGAATTACTGATACACAATTTTATTGCACTTTGTGGCAAGTTATCTCGCAAAACATCAATATAGGTTCGAGCTGTCATATTCCCATCAATAAACACAAATTACCAACTCCTTTGCTAGCCATGCACCCCCAAATCATAACAGAAACCTCCTCCATGTTTAACTGTAGGTAACACATTTTGGGTATGAAAAAGCAGTACAAGGTTTTTTCTCCCACTAATTTTCCTGCCATCTGATTTAAAGATATTGAACTTACTCTCGTCGGAGAATATGACATTTTTCCAGAAATGAATTGGCTTATTGATATATTCCTTAGCGAATTCAAGTCTCTTCAGACTATTTCGTTCAGTTATGAGAGGTTTTTTTTCCTTGGTGATCTCCCTAAATGGTGTGCTTCATGCAGGACATTTCGAACACTTTGGGCACAGGTTTGAACTCCAGATGTTGAAGCGACATCATTGGCTAAAGTAATTGCACTAACAAATGGACTTTTTGATGCTTCTCTTATGAATTTTCGCTTCATTCGCAGTGAAATTTCTTTGGGCGTCCAGAGCGCAAGTTATTTGATATGTAGATCCTCTTTCTTATCTTTTATAACATATACGAAAGTAGAGAAGCAAACATTTACTTTTTTTTTACCTATTTCTCGAAACTTAGGCCATTTTCACGTAGAGACACAATTTTTTCTCGCAACGAAATCGGCAATTCAGATTTCTTAGGTGCCATTACAATTTGAATCGACAATCAACTGATAACGTTTCGACAACACACCTAGTCGTCTTACGTATATTTACTGCGGGATGACTGTCAAATAATAGCATAAAAAAATGCAAATTTGCTAAGTTTGAGTTGAGTGTGCAAATACTTTTTTGACATAAGCTATTTTAATATTGTTGCAAAAAATGTTTTTTTTTTATTAATATTATTGTATTTTTTAATTAATTTAAATGAATAAGCTTATTCTATTTTTTAAATGCAATTTTTGTATTCTTATGCATTTTCTTATAAATTGTGAACAAAAAT